ACATTTAATATTGTGATTTGACGTGTGTACTATTAAAATATAAAACGGGATTCAAATGTCGAGAATGACATTTTAAATGTCGAGAATTCGTAGAGATTCAAATGTCATTTTTTTTTAATTAAGTGCATAATAGACACTTTAGTATTAAATTTGAAAATTGGACAATTTTCAACTTACACCCTTAATTGTGGACATTCTTGAAAATACCCCTTAATTTATTAAGAATTAGTAAAATTAATATATACTCTTAGTCCTTATTTGGTAGTTTAAAATCAAAGTTTTAATCAATAATTAGTTTTAACTATACATTTCAATGAATCAACAAATTTTTAATCACAAATATAATTAACTTTTATCAAAATTTATTACTATTAAAATAAATATATAAGTCGAAAATTTAAATTTTACGTACTCTCATGTACATTTTGTATTTAATGTGTGTTTGGGTGTCATTTTTGTCCGAAGAATTCATTTTCCAATCACTTCGGTATGCCCACCATTGAATTGTTTAACGTGTGTTTGGGTGTCATTTGTATTTGATTATTGATAGTTATCTTTGATTTTCAATTATATCCCTACTTTTGGTTGGATGCGTGCATGTTTTGTTTTGGAGGAAAGGGCAAAATTGGTAAAGTGAAATCAAAGCTCATTAATGGTGCAGTTTCATGTCACTTTTGTGTCAAAGGAAGTGGATAAAATTTCTTCTAAAAATACAAAAAATTTGATTTCAAACGAGGTCTTAATAATTTGTTGTCATCGGTTCAATCCCAATTCTATTTTGATAGAATTGTTTAATTCTCAACCTTTTTACTTTTTTGGACCGAAAATCTAGCTGAGTTTTATAACATTGAGAAAAGAATTTTGTTAGAGAGCCAAGGTCAATGCAGCCCTGTCTCTACATGTGCCCTCTATTGATTGGGAGTATGCCCTCGTATACTCCCAGCCAATAGAGGGTGCCACATGCACCCACTGTTCGTCCAACGCCCACGTGGCTCTGGACGAATAGCAAAACTCTTAGAGAGAAATAGAGTCGTAGAGAAAGTTGTTAAGGAGAAAATGATGGGACTATGAGCATCTGTATGAAAACTATTATTTGATTTTTTTTAAATATTCATTTTTAACTATACATTTACAAAGTAAAGTGTTCTACACATAAGTTTATTTTTATTTTTAATCACATATTTTTAAAAATATTAGTATTTAAAACATTCTATTGGTCAAATAATGACCGTCAAAGGGGCTGAGTGAGTGTGATTTGGTCAATCATAGGGATGACAAAAAAGTTCGTCGGCTCGGAAGGTTCATGCTCGACTCGAAAAAAGCTCGGGCCGAGCCCCATTTTGGGGCGTCAGCTCGAGCCTGGGCGACCATTATTATATCTATAAAAAAATTAAAAATTAATTTTTTTTTAAAGAGCTGCCTTTGCGCAGCTGAAAAATAGCACTTGCTAGTAGCAATTAGTTTTAAAAAAAAAAAACATCAAAAAAACCCGAGTCGGCTTGGCCCGGGCTCGGCTCGACCCGCTCAGGCCAGGACAGAAAGCTCGGGCCGAGCCTCATTTTTTTGATGGGCTTTGCTCAACTCGGACTCAAAAAACTCGGTCAAAAAAAACTCGAGCCGAACCCAAACTTTTTTTTTTCGGCTCGGCTCGTTGAGATAGCTAGTCAATCCTTCGTTGGATAAAGTACCAAAAAATAAATAAATGAAAAAAAACTTCAGATGCACGGTCCCTGCACGTGCCACGTGGTGCCTCAATTTTCTCTATTTTGTTACAAGATTTTTTCCTTTAATGACGGCGTCGTTTTTCTGTGCCTCTTCTTGTTCCAGTTCACTCTCCGGCACGTCCTCGCCGTCGCTTTCCCGCGCAATTAATTGACGAGAAAATTGGAGATTTATTCATTTTGAAATTAAGCATTGTTCCCCTAAATTGATTAAAAGAAACAATATATCAAGTTCGAATTCACTATTTATTTAATTACTGTAAGAGTCTAAAGGTAGAGAGATATACGGACATGACGACAGTTTCAGCTTTTAGAGGCGTTCGCTTACCTATATTTCAGCATTCTCAGGTACAATTCTCTACTTATAATTTATTTATTTATGATTATTTGCGTGTGTAATAGTTTTGTTGTCAATGGAAAATAATTGATTTGCTGATTATGTGTGGATTACAGTTGCCAGTACCTGTAACCATATCTGGTATACCAACAAGAAAGCTCAAATATCGGTCCAATGGATTCACTCTCTTTGCTCGATATTCTCGGTCCCAGGATCTCTTCACCTCTCGTCTTCAAGGTAATACACATTTTATATTTGTGTAATTTTGATACTCAATGAATTAATTTGTTTATTGATTTTGGTCACTAAAATGTTATTTGACGAATATCGAACACTTTTGTTGTTTTATTTTTGGTTAAATAATATCTGACAACGCTTGGTTTTGTTTTTAATGTTTACTCTGTAAGTAGAGGCATGGAATTGGGGTATTCAGAAATAGAATCAGTGGAATTTAGTTTGGATTTAATTGCCCATTAGCTACTAGCATTTTCATGCTTCGTATTGTATATGACCAATAAGGCATCATCACTTTTTCTCGGTTCTGATAGTTGGCCCCTTATGATTATTTTTCATAATTCAGAGTCAAAGATAGTTAAATGGTGCGGAAGTGTTTAGAAATTCTTGTAAGAAGAATTAAAAATAAGAATTATATTGGAATAATCTTGCTTTGTATTAATATATGATTGATTGATCAAAAAGTGTACAATACCCCTATATTTATAGGCAAAATTATTCTCTTATCCTATTAATAAAAGGAAACTAAAATAAGGAAACTAATAAAATCATAATCTAATTAAAATCATATTCTAATAAATAAATAAAAGAAATCCTATTCTAAACAAGAAATAAGAATAAAAAGATAAAACCTATTAGAATTAGAAAAGATAATCATGATTAATAGTTTCCCACTACAATTGTGATTTATGTACTACATCAATCCCCTCCACTTGAATAAAACCCGTCCTTGAGTTTTCTTGAAGAAAAAATCAATCAATCCGGAGGAAAATACTCAAAAATTTCTACAAATATCGATATTGAAGATTATTTCTTGATGTGCTCGATAAATTCCATTATATTCTTCAGTTGCATTATTCAAAGTCAACTTTGTTCCTATCATGCTTGTTATATTTTTTTCACGGATAATTTGCAAATGACATTCCTTAAAAAACGAAGTATGATTTGATTTCTCATCATTGAGTTCGCTCTCGATAGAGGCCATTTGTGCTATTTTCAATTCTTCGTACTTCTCACATTTTGTTGTAATGTTTAGTGATACTTTTTTCAACACAAAAGAATTGGTATGCGGATTCAAATCCTCACTGTTCATGTTTTCTTTATTTTTATACAATTCTTTGACACTAAAGCTGTAGAGAAGGTCAACAAAATTTTTATTCTCAATTTGATAATCTTCACTTTTGACTCCTTCGTTATTGCAAAATTTAATTTTTTCCTCTCATGTTGGACACTTCTGATCTTCAACTTGTTCATCCTTGGAGTGCTGCTCGATCTTGAAGTTTTCAATTGTAGTTTTCATATATAAGGAATCAACAGGTCTCAGATTTTCAACTTACACATGCGCTTCTTTTTCTGTTTTAGTAACATGGTTAGTAACATCCTAATTATTTTGAATTACTTCTTTTTCAGCCTCATCATCTGCTTTATAAGCCTTTTTCTTTTTGTCATTCATAAATTCTTCGTCACATGACACCAAGACAATCTTTTTATCGTACCACCTAAACACATATCTATTATCTCGACCTACGTAAGTGACATCTACATCATAGTACCATGGTTGTCCCCAAAGTACATGACAATTGTCCATCTCTACCACGTTACATATAATCTCATCTTTGTAGTAATTTCCAAGAGAAAGTGAAATTTTACATACCTCCATATTTTGAGTCTCTTGCCCATGTGAAGCTTGATAGCAAGATGAATATTTTTCAATTTTCAAATTTAACGCTTTCACCAATGCTTTGGACACCAAGTTCTGACTACTTTTATGATTTATTATCACTTTGCACACTTTGTTGTTGATGGTGCATCGTGTTTTAAAAATTTTGTTGCGCTTCAAATTGGACTCTTTAATATTTTTTCGATAGACTTTCGTAGAATCCTTGATAACTTGTGTATATTCAAAATTAGCTGGGACTTGAGGAAACTCTCTAACCACCTGTTGCCGTATTTTAATCTTGTTGAAACAACCAACATTCATAGCAGTTAAAGTTTGCAAATTCTTGTTAGCTTGCTTCTCTATGGGATCGCGATTCCTTTCAAGACTCAACGCAGTCACCATCTGCATGATGTTATGAAGGGTTTCATCGATCCCCTCGATTCGTTGTTCGAGTTTGTCGAGCCTCCATTCGTCGTCGACGGTTTGACTGCCACCAGGACCATCGTCGGCCATCAGATTGTGATGAATTCCTTGCTCTGATACCAATTTTGGTGCGAAAGCANGTGTATTCAAATTTAGCTGGGACGTGAGGAAACTCTCTAGCCACCTGTTGCCGTATTTTAATCTTATTGAAGCAACCAACATTCATAGCAGTTAAAGTTTGCAAATTCTTGTTAGCTTGCTTCTCTATGGGATCGCGATTCCTTTCAAGACTCAACGCAGTCACCATCTGCATGATGTTATGAAGGGTTTCATCGATCCCCTCGATTCGTTGTTCGAGTTTGTCGAGCCTCCATTCGTCGTCGACGGTTTGACTGCCACCAGGACCATCGTCGGCCATCAGATTGTGATGAATTCCTTGCTCTGATACCAATTTTGGTGCGAAAGCATTTAGAAATTCTTGTAATAAGAATTGAAAATAAGAATTTTATTGGAATAATATTGTTTTGTATTGATATATGATTGATTGATCAAAAAGTGTACAATACCCCTATATTTATAGGCAAAATTATTCTCTAATCCTATTAATGAAAGGAAACTAAAATAAGGAAACTAATAAAATCCTAATCTAATTAAAAATCATATTCTAATCGATAAATAAAAGAAATCATATTCTAAACAAGAAATAAGAATAAAAAGATAATACATATTAAAATTAGAAAAGATAAATCACAATTGTAGTAGGAAACTATTAATCATGATTATGTACTACATCATTAAAGNTGTAGTAGGAAACTATTAATCATGATTATGTACTACATCATTAAAGTTATGAAATTAATTTTGTCATTGTAGTACATGATATTTACTCATATAAGCAATAGGAACAGCATGATCATATAGATTTTTAGCTAGTGCTAACTTTTGTTAAAGTGTTTTGTTCCATTTAATCATCTATTTTCATTCATTTGAGTGATCATGTCTCTTATTCATGCTGCTTTTGGCCTATATGTCACAGTACTATGGTATAATAGTTCCATCAGAGGCTTTATGGATGCCCTTTTTGTTGAACTGCGGTGAATTAGTAGTACCATTTCTTATACGGATATAATAGCAAAGCTTTCCTAAGGCTCTGTATTTCTGCAGATAGTATCGAGAAATTGCCCAAACTCATGGAGGATATTGTCCAGACATCCATAAATACGGGTCCACGTGGTGCCCTTAGATTAGCTCAGGGTATTCAAGCAGTCATTGGCGTCGGTAGCGAGTGGCTAGCAGATGCATCAAAGGTAATAATAGACCAGTCTCTCGTTTGATTGTGAACCATGTTACATTTATTTTTTCTTTGTGCCCTCCACAACTTTCTATTTCATCTTGTTGGAGTTATCAACTTAGTTATTTGGGTATAAAGTTGAAGATCAAACATTTGGAGGATAGTTTGAGGATCTCATGTCATATTTGTAAGCCACATCATTATTTGTAACTTAAACCCTACTTTATTTGTAAAAGAATGTAGTCACTATAGAGGTGGCTGTATCTTTTGTTATTTTAGGACATCCTCGAATTATCCTTAGATATTAGATGGGAAACTGATAACTGTCCTTTTATTTGTGCAATTGTATGAGTTTTCATGCCGGCTGGTTTTCAATTCTGAAAATGAATTCTTTTTTCATGATTTTCTAATCTAATTGTTCCTTATCAATAAACCATGGATTTTGTCCTAGGTCTTAATGCTATGTAATTTCTGTAGACAGCGAGCTCTTCTACTGGATTATCGACTCAGTTGCAGCTTGGATTAGTATCACCCCTTTATTTGAGGAAATTGTTTGAACGCTTGGGTGCTACATATGTCAAATTAGGTCAGGTAAGTAAAGAATAATGTGTTGGTGATGTTTTTATTCTTATTCAATTTTATGCAGTGAAACTAGTGGATTATTATTATCCACATTTATTCTCTGTATAAATACATGATGAGTTATTCATCTACAGGATATATGTTCATTAGTTGTAGACATATCTGTTTATTCTTCTACAACAGGATTTGCTGATTAATCATTGTGCGCTAAGGACTAAGGAGTAGGTCACTTTTGCATTGATGATTTTGAAATATGCAGTTCATAGCATCTGCACCAACATTATTTCCTCCAGAGTATGTCGAGGAGTTCCAGTACTGTTTTGACCGAGCTCCTGCAGTTCCATTTCAAGAGATACAGACAATCCTGCGCGAGGAGTTGGGTAGACCAATTGATACTGTCTTTGAGTATGTTGATCCGACGCCAATCGCTTCTGCGTCTATAGCACAGGTTTGTACAGTTTTCTTCTTTTTTGAACATTTATTCCTGTATTAGTGGTTAGTTAGTGTATATTAGTAACTATTGTGAATCATTAACATCTTGAACATAATTTGATTTTCAGGTTCATGGTGCTAAGATAAGAGGAACCCAAGAGGATGTAGTTATAAAGGTGCTAAAACCTGGAATAGAGGACATCTTAGTGGCAGATCTGAACTTTGTGTATATTGTGGCACGCATATTGGAATTTTTGAGTCCGGACCTAAACCGAGCTTCTCTGGTATGGCAGATGATTGCTTCTCAAGTGTCATAGATATCTTTATTATTTCCTTGAATCAAAAATCCATGTACTCTTCAATAAATACGTGTTTATTTAATGCCTTTCTCAGTTAATTACTGCCTGGAAACTCTAATGATAAAAAACTTGTGAGGAATTATCACCTCTGTAAACTAACTTACCTCCTGCTTAATTTCATTGGGGCAAAACCTTTTGTCTTGTTTTTGTCAGTTTGATGCGTACCAATTGCTATAACCTTGTCTGTTATCACTTCCATTTCTTTTGGATGTTTCGCTTGTAAAGAAGTTTCAGTTAAACTTAAATTTGGGAGTTAGTAAAAGCCTAAAGGCTGGCATTGATATTGAAGCATTGTGGAAGAATTTTTTGTTGTTCTTTTTCTCTCCCACCACTGATCTTCAAGGGTTGGCTTTTGGCTGAAGCAATGTAGATATATGAATTTTGCTGTTATATTTTTTTCTTTCAACTTTTACCAATCTTATCCTGAGGAGCCAAAGAATTTTTAATATTAATAATCAACTCATAAAACTGTTGATTGACCATCCTCTTTTATTTTTCCGGATTCTATTGTTCCTTATTATGTTACTGAATAAGATTGCCTGAGGCTTTCTTCTAATACATAGTTTGCTAATAGGTTGCTATTGTTGGAGACATAAGGGAATCAATGCTTGAAGAAGTTGACTTTAATAAGGAGGCTGCAAATATTGAGGCTTTCAGGAGATATTTAGAAATCATGGGACTTACAAGGCAGGCTACAGCTCCGAAAGTGTACCAGCAGTACAGTTCCAAGCGAGTTCTTACAATGGAGAGGCTTTATGGAGTTCCTCTCACCGACTTGAACTCCATAAATTCACTTGTTCCAAGTCCAGAGGCTAGTCTTATAACTGCCTTAAATGTGTGGTGGGGCTCAAGTCTTAACTTCAATATCACAAGAATATTTATTTAGTCACAAAACCATATACCTCTTTTTTTTTCATGATTCTGTAGGTTTGGTAGCTTGCTTGCCTGTGAAAGCTTTCACGCAGATGTACATGCAGGCAATTTGTGGTTACTACGTGATGGCCGCATTGGGTTTCTTGACTTTGGTGTGTTTATATTCATCAAATAATTTATATGTGACGTTCAAAATCTTGCACTTGAATGATACTTCATAGTCCGCGTGATCATTCATTTATCTTTTTCGTTCTTTTTTGCCTTCTTCACATTCAGCTTCCATCACACCTAAGAAAATCCCTCACTAGGAAATGCTGAAGCACCTATGATTTGCTAATACTCTAAACTTGAGCAAGATATGTGTCTGACCATGTTCAGAGACTGGTTTCTTTACTTTTCTGGTAGCTGGCTTACAAATGTCTGTTTAACCAAAATGCTAGCATCAATGGTATACATTTGTAGAGATGGAGAGGGTCTCTCACTCTCTCTCTCTCTCTCTCTCCCCCCCCACCAACTTGTTTCCTTTCTCAAGAGAGATTTCCTCCTTGAGAATATCCATTTTTGTCCCACCTTTCGTCTGAAAAGCTTTGGAATTTGAGCTTTTGGCTATTTAAAGTCAGATATAGCGTGAACTTGTTTTCATGTTTCTCATTGATTATATAGACGTCGTGGATTGTGGGTCCATAATTTTCAATATTATTATGTAGTTCGAGAACTGATTACCTTTGTTATCTTTTGTTTATATTAAAGAATATTTTTGAATGTTGGGTTTTTGGTTGAAGGAATGCAGTCAATCGAGCTAGATTATCTACCACAGGAAGTGAAAGATGCCTTTGCACTAGTGGATAATGATTTGAAAGATTACTTGATTCATTTTGTTAGTTTGAACCTTTGGATCTAGACCTTTGCATTTTTACCATAGGATGTCCAAACAACGTTGTTCTGCTAAATAATGTGTATAGATCTGGACATTTTATTTTAGTCTATATGTTTTCAAGAGTACCTGCTAAATACCATCACTTCAGTTTTGTCCAGCATACACCTTCAATCTTATTTTGATTGCATGCCTGCATATGCTTTCCGCGTATTTCTTAGTATTAAGTTGCCTTACAGTCTTCGACATGTGTTGACTTGCTAAAGTTCCCTCCTGGTGCCACTTGTAACTGTGCAATGCCCCTCTGCCATTAGCTAGCTTTGGAGTCTCATTGTTTTGTCTAGCCCAGGTTTTTAATTCCATGCAAGCATTGAGGGATAACACAAATGAAATTCACTACACAGGAATTGTTGGACGCATTTCTCCAAAAACATGGAATGCTATGGAGGTATTTTTGGGATCACTAGCAACTGAAGAATATGAGTCCATGGCATCTTCCTTGATTGATATGGGTGCTACAAACAAGGATGTGGATGTCCCAGCCTTTGCTAGAGATTTAGAAAAGATATTTTCATCCATACAGGTAAGCAATTTATGTTGCAACAGCAGTTCTCTGGTAAAAGTATTAGATGCAACACTTATCAATGTTTTAGTTTTCCTTTCATGAAAGTAAGAGTTAAGTCGAAGCTTTTTAAGGGGTGAGTCAAAAAATGGAGTAACAAGGATTAGCTTGCAAGAATTTTATTTTAAGACATCAAAGACTTGAAAAATACTTTAATATTTCATGTCAATCACAAGTATTGTCAACAAAAATCCAATAGATCTAGCAATGAGCGGAATTGAGTGGCAGCAACAGATTCGTGTAAGCCGATCCCAAATTTATTGGGATGCGGACTTGGTTTTTTCATTTTTGTTGTTTTTGTCAATCACAATTGAGAAACTGATGAAATTATGTAGACTGTACTTGCCTTAAGATTTAACTAAGATAATTTAAAATCATTAATTTGGATTGCTTGGGTGTCCACCATACATCTAGTTTAGCACAAGGTGAACACAGGACTGCAGCTTCAAGAGGCTGGGATATGACCTCTTGGATGGAATCAATTGCTTTAGTGCTTTATTAATGGGAAGATTCAATTGTCCTGTCAGTGTTCATTGCATAAGGTCACTTAAAAAAAAATTCTGCCTTTTGGCATAATCCCCTAGAAGAAAACTCTAGCACTCTCCAAAATCGAAGAGGAAATAGTTTTTTTCCTTGTGCTCATGTAAAGTAGATGGCTGTACTTAAAAGTACACTGCTTTACTCTTATTCTATTTTAAGACATGGTATCTGATATTTTTGCACAGGATTTGGATACAGAAATCATTGTTGCTACAGCAAGAGGAACAAACACAAATGCAACTGCAGTTTCTGCAAATGTTGTGGTTGATGAAAGACAAATGAATGCACTATTCCTAGATGTGGTAAATTTTTCCGTTTTGAGTTTTAGTGTGTATTTGGCCCCCAGCCATCGTGCTGTGCTTTCCTATGTTGTGCATCATGATAAAATGCTGCTTTATTTTGCTTTTGGCTGCAGTTATTGTACTTAAACTATCAATACTCAATCTTTTGACTTACGCTGCTTTTAACATATTGGGCAACAGTGCAAGCAGGTTCAAACAGCCTTAATGTGTATGCTCATTTATTTACATGCTATGACACTTTCATTAACTTAATCATAACAATTGTCATATAAACAGACCACTAATGTAGGTTTATCTTGCTGGCCTTCATATTGAAGTACTTAATATGAAGTGCGATATATAAATCATACTTTATTATAGTTTCTTTTGCTATCCCTTCTACACGTGCATTCATTCAAAATCGATATAGTGGTGCTGCATTTGTTCCTTGGTGCTAAGCTTTTACAATGTTGTAGAAGACAGGTGATAATAAGTGATACTGCAGATTTGGCTATTCTTTGTGCTTGACCTTTTACAGCGTTGTACAATATGTGAACAATGATAAGTGACATTTGTTTGGGCTGCTTATGTGATTTATACTGTGCATAACTTCTAGATTTCTTTCAAACGAGATAGAGATACATTATTCGTTTCTTGCGTGTTCTCATTTTGATCCACGTTTTCTGTGAGTTTAACAGGTTCGAGTCAGTGAATCATATGGACTTAGATTTCCTCGGGAGTTTGCTCTTCTCATGAAACAACTTCTTTATTTTGACCGATACACACGATTGTTAGCTCCAAATTTGAACATGCTGCGGGATCAAAGGATTTCGATCGTCTCAAATCAAAGGAGCAGAAACATTTACCAGTGAGGTATTTGATGTGTTCTTCCCATATTGTAACTATATAATTGAAAATTTGCTACATTAAAAACCCGTTTGAATAT